GTATTACAAATAAAACTGCTATGAACATAGTGGAGCAAATGTCCTTATTAAATGTGGGGCATCTTTTGGGTATATGCCCAGGAGTGGTATAGCTGGATCTTGAGGTAGTGCTATTCCCAATTTTGTGAGGAAGCACAAGATTGATTTCCAAAGTGGTTGTACCAGTTTATTCATTATATATCCCGATTGAAGCCCCACTCAGCTCCCCCCAGTCCTAACAACTTTTCTTCTTCCCCCTATCCACTTCCCCTAGTCCACTGAAAGGGAGAGTTCTCCTCCACTGCCATCTGCCCATAGCTGGCCTGGATCCTTTTCCTCCTTGGCCTGCCAAGGCCGCATCACTGAGGCCAGCAATGGAGGAGGGTTCCCCTTTCTCCACATTCTCTCTAGCATGTGTTGTCACTTGAGTTTTTGATCTTAGCCATTCTGATATGTGTAAGATAGTGGGATCGGGAGGGGAGGAGGTAGGGGCTTATGGTGGGATACAAAATGAATAAAGTGTAATTAATAAAAAAAATAAGAAAAAAAGAAATACTAAAAAAAAGATGTGAGGAAGAAGGGGTCTTTTATTTACTACAGGTAGATACATAAAATCTATGACCTCACTAGCCACTCCTGATACACTCAAAGGATGCAGCCAACATACACAGAAATAAGTGTGATCCATGTTTGTTGACACACTACTCACGATAGTTAAGAAACAAAAGCTGCCCAAATGCCCACCAACAGATAAATAGAAATGTGACACATATACACAATGGAATTTTGCTCAGCCATAAAGAAAAGTGAAATCATGGCCTTTATAGGAAAATGTATATGACTGAAGATCATTGTGGTTTTCCCCAATTAATACAATATTGGCAAAAAAAGATAGAATCTCAAAGTTGCTTTGAATTGTATTTCCCTGATGAAAAAGGATGTTGAACATTTCTTTGAGTGTTTCTCTGCCATTCAGTATTCCTCTGTTCAAAATTCTCTGCTTAGCTCTGTACTCCATTTTTTTTTAATTGGATTATTTGTTTTGTTGTTGTTTAATTTCTTGAGTTCTTTATATATTCTGGCTATTATTCCTCTATTGGATGTAGGGTTGGTGAAGATCTTGCTTGCTTTTTGGGTCGATTTGTTTTGAAAACTGCCCTCCAGCCCTTTTCTGTCAGGTAATGTCTATCTTTGTGACTTAGGTGTGTTTCTTGTATGCAACAGATTGCTGGGTCTTGTTTATACATCCATTCTGTTAGTCTGTGTCTTTTTATTGGAGAATTGAATCTATTGAAGTTGAGAGATATTAATGACCAGGGACTGTTAGAACCTTTGATTTTGATGTTGGCTATGGTAGTGTGTTTGCGTGCTTGGCTACTTTTAGTTTTTCTGTAGTGAGGTTATTTATTTCCTGTGTTTTCTTGAAAGTAGTTAGCTTTCTTGGGTTGTATTTTTCCTTCTACTATCTTCTGTAAGGCTGGTTTGTGAGTAGATACTGTTGAAATTTGTTTTTGTTATTGGATATCTTGTGTTCTTCTATAATGACTGAAATTTTCCTTGGTATACTAGTTTAGGCTGACCTCTGTGTTCTCTTAGGGTCTTCATGATATCCATCCAGGACCTATTGGCTTTCATAGTCTCTGTGGAGAAGTCAGATGTGATTCTGATGGGCTTGCCATTATGTTACTCGGCCTTTTTACCTTGCAGATTTTAGTATTTTTCTTTGTTCTGTATACTTACTGTTTTGATTATTATGTGGCAGGGGGATTTTTTTTTTCTATTCTAATCTATAGGTGTTCTATAGACCTTTTGTATGCTCATAGGCCTCTCCTTTAAGTTTAGGAAACTTTATTATATGATTGTGTTGAAAATATTTTCCGGGCCTTAGAGACAGGAATCTTCTTTTTCCTCTATTCCTATTATTTGTAGTTTTTGTCTTTTCATGTTGTTTGGTATTTCTTGGATGGTTTGTGTGAAGAATTTTTTAGATTTAACATTTTCTATGACGGATACATCCATTTCTTCCATTGTATCTTTAACACCTGAGATTCTTTCTTCCATCTCTTGTAGTCTGTTGTGTATGCTTACCTCTGTAGTGTCTGTTTCCTTCCCTAAGTTCTCCCTCTCCATGATTTCTTCCATTTGTTTTTTTTTTCATTAACTTTTCCTTTTCCACCTTTAAACCTTGAACCATTTTGCTGATTTCCTTGATTTGTCTGATTGTGTTTTCCTGCTTTTGCTTCAATTCCTTCACCTATTTGTTTGAACTTTCCTCTATTTATTTTATAGCTTTGGCTTTTGTAGATTGTGCTTTTACACTGGACTCTAACCCATGTGACTGTCTCAGGTGTTGTCTGTTTCTGGCACCTCCTGGAATCTTGGGGTGGGTGGAATCCACTTGGTAGGAAGATGGTTGCTCCTGAAGCATCCCTCCTTAGCTTTTTGGGTATGGTCACCGAATGGCTCGTGCTTCTCTGGGAATAGCCACAGCCCTCCTCAGGTGTATGGTCCTGTGTGGTAACTGGGCTCATTTGGAAGTCCAGGGGCTCTCCTCTAGCCAGGAGAAGTCCTGGAGACAGTTGCCATGCCACTGGGTTTCTTGCTCTGAATTTAGTGAGCGGCTGCTGCTCATACACTGTGTTTGCTGGGCACAGCCCTCTTGAAGAATGAGGGAGCCCCATGGTTTGGTCAGTTCAGCTAGGGAGACAGATTGGGCTTTGGAGTAGCATGTGGGGGCTGATCCTGTGGGTCCCCAGTTTCTGTTGGTCTGAATTTGGAGCTCAGTATGCCAGGAATCAAGCAGCAGTCAGTGGCAGGTGAGCACAGCACACAGGCACGTGGCTGGAGGCTAGAGCTCTGAGCCTGCAGGAGCCCAGAAACTTTTCTGGGGATTAGATGGGTGCCCTGAGGTTGGACCTGATGTTTTCCTCACTGTGGGGGTTCCTCCTGACAGTGAAACCCAGGTGTTTGGGGGTCTGTAGTTCAGTCTGGGATGGTGAGTAGTGCTCACAGGTGCAGGTAATAGGCTCAGCACTGGTAACTGGATGCCTGCAGGAACCTGGGAACTTATCTGGGAACTATTCCTGGGGTGGAGGGTTTGGCTGGGTGCCCTGAGGTCAGACCTGGTGTTGCCTTCACCATGGGATTTCCTCCCAACCGTCTCTGGTGATTTGGGGCTCACAGTTCTGTCTGGGATGGTGAGTGGCATGTGCAGGTGTGTCTCTGGGACCTTTTCAGGGACTGTATTGGCGACCTGAGGTCGGTAGGACCCAATTGCTTCTTTCACTGTGTGGTGTTTTCTTGAATGGAAAACCCAGTCTTTGGTGTTGTAGGGCCCACAGTTCAGTCTGGGGTGGTGATCAGAATATGTACGTGTGTGGCTCTGTGCTGGAGACTGAGCTCCTGCTGGGACCCCTAAACTCTTCCAGGGATTAGCTGAGAAACCTGAGGTTGGAACCAATTCATTCACATACTATGGGGTGTCCTCCTACCTGGGAAACACAATCAGTGGTGTTATAAGGCCCACAGTTCAGTCTGTTGGTCTTTGTGTAGTCACAGCTGTCCTGCTGTCAGACACAGTGTCCTCTCAGTGCCGCCATATTGGACCTCTTATTGGGATTTAATCCTCCCAAAAGATGGCTTTCTGAGAGTAGGCAGGGTTTTCTTTCCAAGCAGTCTTCAGGGATTGGGTTGCTCTGTAAGTGCCTATATGATACTTTAGCAATAGCAGTTGGTCATCAGTGTGTTAAATGCTTGTCTCCTGTGCATCCTCCTCCTCCACTCAGATCAGAGTGCCATCACTGTGGATGAACCCAAAGTCTCCATTTTTAAAGCACTTTTTATAAAACTAAATATAAAACTATAGCATCTGTTTATCTGATACCGGAGAACAAACTCATGTTCCGCAAAGACTGTACCATTGAGCCTCACACCCAGTCTTAGTTCTCTAGATTTTCTTTAACATTTCCAGAAAAATCAACCTTAACAATATGGAGACAAGAAATGAGCATGGCCAAGATCCAGCCCAGATAGTTTTGGAGTAAAAGGAATAGAAGAATAGTGTGAATTCCAATCCCAGATAATAACAGCAAGATTTGCCCCTGTAAGCACTGGACTCTGAAAAAAACATGGCAAAATTCAAAGAAAGAGCAGAATGAAGCAGGGTTTCTAGACAGAATCTGGAAGGGGATAAGACTTAAATAGTTAAAAAATAAAAATGTTGACGTTTCTTTGTTTGAGAATTGGCAAAAGTGTGCAGAAACCCAGAACCAAAACCAAGACTTCTTGTGGTCTTTGGTTTAAATAGGTATTAGACATGACAGCATGGAGGCAGGAGATTCCTTGTCAAGTCTATTTTCCAGTGGCTATTTTATATACATACAGACATGCACAATATGATGACTAAACGTTCAAATATGTGAGCCTATGGAGGTCATTCTTATTCAAACCACCATGTCTTCACCAAGCGTCTTCAGCTTGTATTAATCTATGGAGGCTTCATGGGCATTGTTGACATATACATACTTGCATACATATAAACACACACATATGCAGTGTGTGTGCACACAATTGTCAGAGGACAAACTCAGAACCTCAGTCGTTGATTCTCACCTTTCAACTCCCTTTCTTGCAGACGAGGTCTCTGCTGTTTTTCTATTGTATACTTCAGTCTAGCTGACTTACGAATTTCCAGGGATTTTCCTGTCGCTGACCTCCATCTTGACATTGAGGTAGTAGGATTACAGGTGCCTCTGCTACTCATCCTAATTTTACATGAGTTTGGGGAATTTGAATTCCAATCCTCATCTTTTCATGGTGGGCACTTTTACTTTTGAGCAATCTCTTAGCTCTTTTTAGCACTTATTCTACATAATGTTAGATTTCAATATGACATTTTTATATATGTCTTTTTTTTTGTTTTCATTTGGTTTGTCAGTCTTTAACCTGTTAAGGACCAAAAAATACCAGAATTCCAGGGGAAAACACCCAAGTTTGAACCTTTTCGTTCTTCCTTTTACCAGACCCCAGCACAACCTTCACGCTTACAGAGATTCAGCACCAGCCCACATGCTACCATATCTGAGAAAGTCTATCAGGAGATGCAAAAAGCCATTGCTGGTGACAAGTCACCCAGGAGCTCCAGAAAGAAGTCTTCATCACATCACTCACCAACACCAACAAAGGTGAATATTAGTTCTACTCTCAGGGATAGGTTCAAGGTTGGCTACCTATCCAAAGCATAATTTCTTTTTCTATTTTCTCTTGCCATATCTTAACTCCAGGGACAAACCAGAGTGCTACTTTGGAAAAGAAAAGGCCATTCTTAACTTTTGATTTGATCCATGGTTTACATATTCCATTCAGTTTCACAAACCAGATAATCACTACATCAACTCATAAACAATGAAATACACCGTTTCAGAAATATATCAGTTTGTGGACAATTTCAGCTATCTTATTACAATTAAAATAAAGCTTCTATAACTGAATCAAACCTTATACACTTTAAAAAATTCAGAGATTAGGCAATGCAATATTATTTCATAACTGTCTACCATAATAAAAAACAGCACAGTAGTGAGCATGCATGCATATGTGTTTTACATGTTTAGATCTGCCAACCGAATACTACCTATTAACAACTGACAAATCATTTTACTCATATTAACAACTCCACTCTCAAATTTATGTTTACCCTAATTGGTTGTTGTGAACCTAGATGAGTTTGGAATTTGGAGCCACTGATACTGGGAACTAAAAGCAAACAGAAACATACTTTAAAAAGAAAATATCTAGACAGTCAGAGAAAAATCCTCTTTTGATGTTAAAAGATACTGTAAATGCATTTGGGGATGTAGCCCAGTGTCACTGCACTTCAAATCCCAGCATAGAAAAAAGATTGTATGAAGAAAAGCTGCCTTTGGCACATAAAATTTAGGTTAGACCAAAATTAAAGCACAGACTGACAGTAGGTAGATGGAAAATGATTAATTTATGCAATTGGGTTATGACTATATTCTGCAGAACACCACTGAATCAGATGGATGCGGGTGGGTCCTCTGAGTTGGTGGAAAGATTGGATTATATAATATTAACCATACAAACTATTTTAGAATATGGTTTAGTAGAGTTACTTTTAGTAACTTTTAGTTACATTTAGATTTTCAAACTTTGTGGCATATAGGCTTTTTTAGTACGACCTAATGATTGTTTGGATTTCCTCATTGTCTGTAGTTATGTCCCCATTTTCATTTCTGATTTTGTTGATTTCGATAGTTTCTCTCTGCCTTTTAGTTAGTTTAGTTAAGGGTTTGTCTATCTTGTTAATTTTCTCAAAGAACCAGTTCTTGGTTTCATTGATTCTTTGAATAGTTTTATTTGTTTCTAATTGGTTGATTTCAGCCCTGAGTTTCATTATTTCCAGCTGTCTACTCCTCTTGGGTGTTTCTGCTTCTTTTTTTCTTAGGGCTTTCAGTTGTGCCACTAAGTTGTTTGTAGGAGATGTTTCAAATTTCTTTTTTTTTAATTTTTTTATTAATTACACTTTATTCATTTTGTATCCCCCCATAAGCCCCTCCCTCCTCCCCTCCCGATCCCACCCTCCCTCCCCTTTCTGCATGCATGCCACTCCCCAAGTCCACTGATAGGGGAGGTTCTCCTCTTCTTTCTGATCTTAGTCTATCAGTTCTCATCAAAAGTGGCTGCATTGTCCTCTACTGTGGCCTGATAAGGCTGCTCCTCCCTCAGGGGGAAGTGATCAACAAGCAGGCCAATCAGATTATGTCAGAGGCAGTCCCTCTTCCCATTACTATGTAACCCACTTGGACGCTGAACTGCCATGGGCTACGCCTGTGCAGGGGTTCCAGGTCATCTCCACAAATAGTCCTTGGTTGGAGTATGGGTCTCTGGGAAGTTCCTTGTGTTCAAATTGTCTTGTTCTGTTGCTCTCCTTGTGGAGTTCCCGTCCCCTCCAGCTCTTACTATTTCCCAGTTCTTACATAGAATTCCATTCACTCTGCCCATCAGTTGGCCATCAGGCTCAGCATCTGCTTTGACGGTCTATACTGCAGAAGCTTTCAGAGGCCCTCTGTGGCAGGTTTCAAGGTTGTTTCCTGTTTTCTTCTGGCTTTCAGAGGCCCTCTGTAGCAGGTTCCGAGGTTGTTTCCTATTTTCTTTTTCTTCTGATGTCCATCCTCTTTGCCTTTCAGGATGGGGATTGAACATTTTAGTTAGGGTCCTCTCTTTTGCTTAGTTTGTTTAGATGTACAGATTTTAGTGGGTTTATTCTATATTGTATGTTTATATGAGTGAGTATATACCATGCATGTCTTTTTGCTTCTGGGACAACTCACTCAGGATGATCCTTTCCAGGTCCCACCATTTACCTGCAAATTTCATGATTTCCTTATTTTTCATTGCTGAGTAATACTCCATTGTATAGATGTACCACAGTTTCTGCATCCATTCTTCAGTTGAGGGGCATCTGGGTTGTTTCCAGCTTCTGGCTATTACAAATAAAGCTGCTACAAACATGGTTGAGCAAATGTCCTTTTTGTGTACTTGTGCCTCTTTTGGGTATATGCCTAGGAGTGGTATGGCTGGATCTTGAGGAAGCGCTATTCCTAGTTGTCTGAGAAAGCACCAGATTGATTTCCAGAGTGGTTGTACCAGTTTACATTCGCACCAGCAGTGGAGAAGGGTTCCCCTTTCTCTACAGCCTCTCCAGCATGTGTTGTCCCTTGAGTTTTTCATCTTGGCCATTCTGATGGGTGTAAGGTGAAATCTCAGGGTTGTTTCGATTTGCATTTCCCTAATGGCTAATGAGGTTGAGCATTTCTTTAAGTGCTTCTCTGCCATTTGATATTCCTCTACAGAGAATTCTTTCTTTAGCTTTGTTCCCCATTTTTTAAGTGGATTACTTGGTTTATTGCTTTTCAGCTTGTTTAATTCTTTATATATATTGGATATGAGTCCTCTGTCAGATAAAGGGTTGGTGATGATTCTTTCCCAATCTGTAGGCAGTCGCTTTGTTTTGATGACGGTGTCCTTTGCTTTACAGAAGCTTTTCAATTTCATGAGGTCCCATTGATTGTTGCTCTAAGAGCCTGTTCTGTTGGTGTTCTGTTCAGGAAGTTTTCTCCTGTACCAATGAGTTCTAGGGTATTCCCCACTTTTTTTTTTCTAGCCGATTTAATGTGTCTGATTTTATGTTGAGGTCTTTGATCCACTTGGACTTCAGTTTTGTGCAGGGTGATAAGTATGGATCTATTTTCATTTTTCTACATGTAGACATCCAGTTGGACCAGCACCATTTTTGAAGATGCTATCTTTTTTCCATTGTATGGTTTTGGCATCTTTGTCAAAAATCAGGTGACCGTAAGTGTGTGGGTTTATTTCTGGGTCTTCTGTTCGATTCCATTGATCCACCATTCTGTTTCTATGCCAGTACCATGCAGTTTTTATAACTGTTGCTCTATAGTACAGCTTGAGATCAGGGATGGAGATACCTCCAGAAGATCTTTTATTGTAGAGGATTGTTTTAGCAATTCTCGGCTTCTTGTTATTCCATACGAAGTTGAGAATTTTTCTTTCCAGGTCTGTAAAGAATTGTGTTGGCAATTTGATGGGAATTGCATTAAATCTGTAGATTGCTTTTGGTAAGATGGCCATTTTTACTATGTTAATCCTGCCAAGCCATGAGCATGGGAGATCTTTCCATCTTCTCCTATCTTCCTCTAATTCTTTCTTCAGAGACTTGAAATTTTTTTTTCATACAAGTCTTTGACTTCCTTGGTTAGGGTTACACCAAGGTACTTTATGTCATTTGTGGCTATTGTGAATGGTGTTGTTTTTCTAATTTCTTTCTCAGCCCTTTTGTCTTTTGTATACAGGAGTGCTACTGATTTTTTTGAGTTAATTTTGTATCCGGCGACTTTGCTGAAGGTGTTTATCAGCTGTAGGAGTTCCCTGGTAGAGTTTTTGGGGTCACTCATATATACTATCATATCATCTGCAAATAGTGATAATTTGACTTCTTCCTTTCCCATCTGTATCCCCTTGATCTCCTTCAACTGTCTTATTGCTCTAGCAAGGACTTCCAGCACTATGTTAAAGAGATATGGAGAGAGTGGGCAGCCTTGTCTTGTCCCTGATTTCAGTGGGATTGCTTTAAGTTTCTCTCCATTCAGTTTGATGTTGGCTATGAGCTTGCTGTAAATCACCTTTACTATGTTTAGATATGTGCCTTGTATCCCTGATCTCTCCAGTACTTTAAACATGAATGGATGTTGGATTTTGTCAAATGCTTTTTCAGCATCTAGGGAGATTATCATGTGGTTTTTTTCTTTCAGTTTGTTAATATGGTGGATCACATTGATGGATTTCCGTATATTGAACCACCCCTTCATACCTGGGATGAAGCCCACTTGGTCATAGTGGATAATATCTTTGATGTGTTCTTGGATTCGGTTTGCAAGTATTTTGTTAAGTATTTTTGCATCAATGTTCATAAGGGAGATTGGCCTGAAATTCTCTTTCTTTGTTGAGTCTTTGTGAGGTTTAGGTACCAAGGTGATTGTGGCTTCATAGAATGAGTTTGGTAATGTTCCTTCTGTTTCTATTTTGTGGAATAGTTTGAAGAGAATTGGAGTTAGCTCTTCTTTGAAGGTCTGGTAGAATTCTGTGCTGAAGCCATCTGGTTCTGGGCTTTTTTTGGATGGGAGACTTTTGATGACCGCTTCTATTTCTTTGGGGGATATAGGACTATTTAATTGATTTACCTGGTCCTGATTCAGCTTTGTAAGTCAAATCGATCAAGAAAATTGTCCATTTCATTTAGGTTTTCAAATTTTGTTGAGTATAGACTTTTGAAGTAAGTCCTAATGATTGTTTGGATTTCCTCAGTGTCTGTAGTTATGTCCCCCTTTTCATTTCTGATTTTGTTGATTTGGGTGGTGTCTCTCTGCCTTTTAGTTAGTTTGGCTAAGGGTTTGTTGATTTTCTCAAAGAACCGGCTCTTGGTTTCATTGATTCTTTGAATTGTTTTATTTGTTTCTAATTGATTGATTTCAGCCCTGAGTTTGATTATTTCCAGCCGTCTACTCCTTTTTGGTGTGTCTGCTTCTTCTTTTTCTAGGGTTTTTAAGTGGGCCATTAAGTTGCTTGAATGAGCTGTCTCGAATTT